TTTCTCTTCTCCTCTTCGTCTCAGTGGTGTATTTGCTATGAACCAAAAATTGAGTTCGTGTAACTCCATTCTCATGCAAAGCATTATTGGCCCGCAATTCAAGTACACCTTTGGACTCCATGATTCTACATTGGTATCAAGCATCTATTAGATCCTTTGCTGTGTTTATGTATAATGACCCAAATTTAAAATTAAATAAATTTGCTCCTAAATGATATTTAATTTATTTATCATAATTTTAAGACAAGTGAGGAATAGTAGTTTAGCAAAAATTGATACTGGCTACTTATATGGAGATTTAGAATTTGAATCTTAGTTAAGCTAAATATTAGTTTATTTTCTTTTATTGGAAGAAAGTGCTAAATGCTTTTGCCTTTTTATATAGATATAATATTAATAATATAAAAAATCTAAGGGGTCTTCATTTATACTTCTTTCCCACCAACTCTCATATATTATTTTTATTTCACTCTTTATCGATGAGCTACAGACCAAAGGAGAGAGAGACTTTAACTTTTCATCTGAAAAGTTTGACCATCCAACTCTTCACTCCACTGTCCAGCTCATCATCGGTGATGTGAGTCACCAGTGATATTCTCCTTCCCTTCTGTTCTTCGCTCCTTCTCCTTTGTTCATTTCTTTGTCGTGGGTGGTGTTCGAAACTTCTCTTTTGTCTAAGAGCAAGAGAGATTCATTGCTCAGAAGCTTCAAGTCATTCGATCTAGCACCTTTGTCCTTTTGCTATTCAACATGCTATTAATGAGAATAGGAGTTTCACTTGCTATTGGTGAGATGTTTGCCTAGAACCACAGCATTGTGGTGCAAACCTTGAGTTCTTCCCTCCCCTATTCTGTGTTGAATTTCATCTTTTTCTTTCCTTGATATGTGCTTGTCGTGAATCTCCACTTTTGACATGGTTGTCGAAATTTTTCTCCTTCCCTGTATTATTGCTGTTCTCACTAGTTCGGTGTGGTTGTGGACACTATTGTTGGTTCATGATTTTTCACTTCTGTTGTTTCTGTTGATTTCTTCTTCTTTTTTATACCTTTTTCTGTCAAGGTTGAATCCGGGTAGAAGCTTAAAATTGTTCCTTCATTGAATCCCCGGTGTGCACATGTTTTTAATGGGTGATGTTGTAATTTGTTCCTCCTTGCTAAATATGTGTGTGTGAGAGAGAATGATTAGTGCAAATTTATATTTATTTTCTGTTCAATGTGCTGTGTGAATTTATTTGAAGGCAGTCACAGTGCAGTTAAGCAAGCTAGAATTTTGTTCATGAAAGAAGAGAAAGTAGCGTGGGCTTGAATTGTATTTAAATCATATTAATCTTGTGGAAGGAATGAACTTGGGATGCTTGAATAAGTTATGTATTGATGTTGTATAAATGTTGAAGGAATTGTGGGATCGGATATAAAGGAAGAGCTGAGTATTAAAAGTTGAATATTGGTGCCTATAAGGTATTGGATAAAAGTTTGTTAGGGGAAGTCTTGATTGTTCATGATTTTTTCCTTAAATGTCAATAATTCTCATAAAGCATAGTTGGCTCAAACGCTAATTACTTGTGAGTTTAATTTGAGTGTCACAAGAGATTTGTCAATTATAAAGCTAATGTGTTATTAGTTGAATTCTTGAGAGCTGTATAATTGGATAGAGAAGTGAGCATGTAAAGTATTGAATGGATTGAAAAATAAATAAATAAATTGAGGTTTGGTTTCTTCAAGTCTAAATTGGTTGTTAATGAGGAATTGAGTTATTGGGAAGTAGCATAAATTTTAGAGTTCATGATTGGAAATATTTGAACAAGAGATGATCTTTTAATCTATTGAGATAAACAAGTGGGATAAAGGTACCATGGATTACATGACAATATGAGAGCTAGTTATTTTCTATACTAAAGCTAGGAAAATCATCAAGGAATTTGCTTAAAAGCACATGGTATGTTTGATAAAAAAAACAAAATAAGGATGAAGATTTTAAATGACTAGTGGCTTAGGGATAAGTCAAACTTTATTATGTATTAGGCAAGACATCAGGTTGTTGAATAATTGATGTAGTTTTATTTAGTAGAGTTATTGCTAAAGAAAATTATTGTTATTCTTGTCTAGGTAATAGAGTAGTTAAAGGACAATTGAGAGGTTTATAAGGAACAAACTATTATTCTAGGCGTTTATCAAGTAAGTAGATAGCGTTCTAATTAATTTTTCAATAAAGATTTCCTTTACTACAATAGTACATTTGTATGCAAAATTGTTTTAGTAACAACGATATGGTTATTGAATAGTTTGTTTAGTAAACTTCTTTATTTTGTGAAATTAACTTTATCAATTTTGAAATTTTAATTGATTAATAAATATAAGTTTATACTTTGATTGTGAGATTTTATTCTATCGAACATTGGATTGATACAGAGAATGATTCATGCGAGTTTGACTTTGAAAATGAAAATTTTATTGTGAAAGTGATGATTTTCTTGCATGTTTGAAAATGAATTTGAAGGGAACTTTATACAGAACACTAGTTGCTAACGACAGTTCCGTTAGCCCTTGACACGCCATGGTTCACCTAGCTAGTAGGGTACTTATAGGAGGTGCTAGCCTCATGGGATGGGCAACGCATGTGGAACGGAGAGACGATTATTCGTGAGCATTGTACTCACATTTGATTTTATGGCTTTGGGCCACGTTTGGTTAGCATTACCCTCGTGGATTGTGTGTCCACGTTTATTTTGTGGCTTCAGCTACATTTGGTTACTTACCCTCATGGACTATGTGTCCACATTTGTCTTCATGGCACAAACTGCATTTGGTTATTTACTCTCGTGGATTATGTGTCCACATTTATTAATTATTCTGATAAGTCCCTATAATTATGAATTTGATTATTTGGTGATTTTATATCCTATTAGTTTTTATTTAGTAATTGATTTACAAATATTTATTTCATTTATGTGACTTCTTGAAATCAAGTGATATTAACATTTGCTATGATAGTTTAATGGTTTAAGATTTTATTTAAAATTTTACAAAGCCATTTTATTCTTAAGTTTATACATTTTTTATGAAAATTGTTGTCTCTTTAACTTACATGATTATTTCAAACTTTTTTTTATTCATGTTAAATTATTTATTGTTGGGATGTTATTCACTGAAAAATTATTTTAGTCTCAGATAGTGTAGCTAACATTGTGCGTCCTGCTTCTAATGAGAGAATTTTTGCTAAGCTTGGTGGAGATTTATTTTGTGAATATTTCCTATTTATGTAAATACGAATTTATGAATTATGTCATGAAAATATAATTAGGTGTTCCACATAGACTATAGTTAAGGTCTTAATTTTCTTTGTTATATTATCTATTTGTTGTTGAGGAATAGAACTCCATATTGTTGGGTATAAATTGTAAAATTTTTATTGTAAAGATTTTAAGAGATCCTACTTATATGGGAGGGGTTGTCAAAATTTTTACAAAAAGGTTGATAATAAATTTTTAGAACTATTCCTAGCCTAGTTATTTATGTCTATTTCTCTAGACCTAGGTTCTCTCTTCACC